TCGTCGCCGTCGCAAGGCTGGAGACCAAGCCTTGGGCTTCGGCAACATGGGCCGAAGATTCGGATCTTGACCGGATCATACTACGGATTTCTGGTGCTTCCTGCTTTGGTTTCCTTGGTCTCCTTCTCGTGGTGCGTCTCCGCCATGCACATGGCCAGCTACGCCTGCTCGGCGGGGGAGCTTACGAACCTCGCGCTTGCCAGCTCTCACTCCCTGAAGTTTTCTCCTTGGCAGCTCGGCCTGACGTGCATCTTTCGGAGGAGTCTGCGTGGTACTGCATGTAGGGGTGTCGCAAGACAGAATATTCCATAACTCATATTTGTATATATACGCACATATACATATATATATATATGTATATATATATATATGTATGTATGTATGTATGTATGTATGTATGTATGTATGTATGTACCTAGAGGTTCTTATGTAGTTCCTNNTATGTATGTATATGTGTGTGTGTATATATATATATTATTCGTACACTCAATGTGGAAGTACGTCATCTGGGCTTGTCTTGACTCGACATCAGGCAGATGCGTTACGAAGTTATCACGGATATTTCTTACCAGCAGCTCGCGATGATTGCCTGGGTGCAACCTTCCACCACCCGTGTCCTGTCTTTTGCCCAGCCACAGGCCGCCCAGCCCACGTCCGCTTCCACGGAGCACCAGCGGCTTCTAGTCCAGGAGAACCAGAGTGGAGCAGTCCAGGAGGTCCAACTTGCGCACCGGCGCATCCCGCGTGTATCCAAGGTCAGTGTGCAAGGCCTCCGGCCCTCGCTTTCACCAACCGACTACCAAGTCCGCTTCTCCCCAGCCACGACCCTTCCCACAGTGCTGCGGCTCAGCGCAGAAAGCCCCCGCTTCCAGAGGACCGTCGCCTGGTCGACGCTCCACGGCTCGGTCACCAGCGTTCCCGAAGGTGCAGCGGTCATAGATCGAACCAGCCTCGCAGTATTCCGTTTGGGTTTATAGGGTTTAGGATGTTGTTTTGTACAGCTGAAGAATGCTAATTCTAGTGGCTCTTCTTTGAACTCGGTGTCAGCATGTTCCCGATCAGCATCACGCAATCTTCAGTCCTGTGGTAATTCCTCGGCGGTACCTGCTGTGAATCGTTTGGACGTCGAGCTGTCGACAGTTTTGAGGTAATTTCATCTCTCCGAAAACTCCGAATCCTCAGCAGGTTTGAGCTCCTGTAGGTTTTGCTAGTAGAAAAGTAGCTTGAGTAGCAATTAGCATCAGGAATGTTGACGCACGTTGAGACTGCGGGGGCATCCCTGCAGGTGTGCAAGATCTGCATATCCAAGTGGAGGTGACAGACGTTGTCGTGGGGCTCCCACGGCTCGCGGGGCACGATCCCGACTGCCGCTCACAGAGTGCCGAACTCTGGACGGCGTACCATGGGGAAGCGGAGCCTACTGAAGAGCTGTGTTCACGGGTCTGCGCCAACAGCTTGAACTGCTTTACGTCCTATCCTGGCGCGAACGGCTGCTTTGCCTTGGTGGGGAAGCCAAGCTGCTGGGAGCTGCCGCAAACCAGCGACATCGGGGAGGTCAATGCGAGCTTGCAAGGAGCAGACAGCAGCTCAGGGCAACTGCCCGCTTGGCGTGCCGAGCGACATCTCCGAGGCCGGCTCAGTGGTTGTCGACGCAAGGAGAATGAGACGCTCGTGGGTCAGATGGTGGCCGTGGAGGCAGGCGAGCTTGCCTTTGGTGCGGTTCAGCCAGACTGGGCTGGTCCAGCGGCTACTTTGAGCTTCTCCCTCGATCTGGAGGTTGGCGGACAGAGCTTCGAGACAGACTTCGTTCCCATCACGCTTCACCGAGGACTCCCGGCGCCCAACGATGTTCTGTGCCTGCTAATTGGGGAGAAGGACGCCGGCAGCGAGGTTCTTAAGTCTGAGGGTAAGGTGGACAGTCAGGGCAATGCTGTTGTCACCATCTCCGAGTATGACCCGACGGTCTTCAAGAGCCTCCGACTGCTGGTGATGCCCTTGCTTCCTGATCCGGATCCCTAGCTCGCAGTAGTTCCGCGTGTAGCGTTTCGGACTTGAATGAAGGGACTGAGAGTAGGAGTGGCCGTGTGAAAGAGAAGCTTTGCTAGCCCAGGACCTGCGAGCAAATTGGTCGGAGTGGTGTGCTCCGAGCCAGGAGGACCAGAAACGTTTGGAGCAGCATAGCCGATGCCAAACCAGCGACATCATCAGATCGCGCTACAAAGTTTGCGGAGCCCCGGGCGGCGTCACCCACGGGCGGCCGCTGAACGACGAGCCCCTCGTCGTCAACCTCGATCCTTGGCTGGGTCGGCCACAGGCGCAGCCCACTTTCAGCATCGTTCACCGCGATGGTCCAGGCCACGGCTCGGGTTGGAAGGGGTCGGCCGAGGAGCGCACTGTGGCCCTTCACTTCCAAGGGGTCGACGGCCCGGCCGCTTGGGCAGCTCACCACGGCTGCGCGCTGCTAAACTCCACGGAGGCAGAGCGCGGCATCTTGGCCTCCGCAGATGCCATTTGCAGCCTGCTGTCAAGTTGCGCTGATCGGCTCTGCGAAAAAGTCCACCGTTACACCTTGGGTGCTGGACAGGTTTGGGATGAAGCAGCCGGGGGTCGTGTAAACTCACTACCGTCGGTGTCAGCGGAGCAAACCGCGAAGGTGCTGACGTGCTTGCAACAGCAGGCCCCGCCCTGCAGCCAGAGCATCACAGAGCAGCAGTGGCAATATTCCAATCATGCCGTTCACCTGGAAGGCTCCGGCATCCGAATTCCGATTGGCACATTGATGCAACAGGCAGACAAATTAGGCCAGGGTGGCCTGGCCTTATTCCGGGAGATCGGCCAGAACTTGACGCTGGAGAACGCGACGATCTTCGAC